CAAAATAAATAACTTATTTATTGTTTTTATATTAAACAGTCGATATAGAGGAAGAGGAAGCGGTTCTAAAAACCTGAAAAATGTTTGAACAATTAGTTTTCTTTTGTTATAATTATCATTAAAAACAATAAAACTGTAATCAGTTTTAATTGGAAAAGATATATAAGAGAATAGGTTTGAACACAGTGCCAAGTACAAATGTTTTTTTTTTCTGCTAAGAAGCTAGGGGCTATGTATAATATTAAAAAAATTCAAATCATTACATAAATATTCATTAAAATTGGATATTTGTTCACAGTTTATGGATATTTTTGCTAGTGTTAACTCATTCAAATCATCATCTTTATTTTATTTTTTTAATATATATATATATAATATATACATGCTCATATGTGTACTTTTGCTCTAAGAAATTCATTATTTCATCCTTTTCCATTTAAAGAAAATTATTATTTAAAATAAAAAGGTATTTATTTAAGAAAATACATTTTTTCAATCATCAATTTTTATTTATAAAGTCAAGTACAAGAGGAAGAGCGGAAAAAAAAAATGAAAAGTGGAAATTCATAATTTTTACTCACTTGAAAATTTACCTCGAGTGCACTCAACTTTCTCTGCATGTTAAGGCTAAGATCTTTATCAAATAAATATTCTAACACATTAATTTTAACATGTAATGCCTTTCATTAAAAATACATTTATTTAATGAGTGTTATTTATGCATTCACATGATAGCAACAATATATTTTTAAAAGGTTTCAATGATTATTAAATTAACATCTACGTAATACAGACTTTAATCTTTCAATAAAATGTATTATGTTTTGATTTTATATATGTATATATATATAAATAGCAAATTTCAAGAGAACATTTTTTAAATTGAATTAAGTGATCCCTTGGGGCAAATTACGTAGCATATTCTAGACTAAAATCTCAGTTTCTTAGGAAATTTCTTTGTTTAAATTACATTTCCATTCAATTTGTAGCTAATGACTAAAAACTAATTTAAATTATGATTCTCAACACATGAATAAATAATTAAATATGATGAAACTGAAAATCAAACTAACCTACCATACGGATTATACTGTAATGTGAGATTAAGGAAGGGTTAATCGTTTCAATTAAAAATAAGAAATTTTGTCTACATTTAATTATTGAACATTTGTATCCCCATGTAATGCTTTTAACTTTAATAACATAATATACAGGGTGTCATAAGTCTGAAACCATAGGAGTTACATTGATCTTTGTTTATTCTTTTACAGATCTCTATCTGTAAAAGACTATGGTGCTGAGTAAGGAGGAATAAAGTCAAGTTATTTTCATCATGGGGACTCATTTTGATGGGGAGTCTGTTAAACTCTTTACGCAGCCCTTAGTTAGGATGATTGTGCCAAAAGAGTTTAACAAATTGCATCTAGACTTCCAATTAATCTAGTATAGATGCAGCCTGTTAAATTCATCGGCAACTTCTCCTGTCTCCATATACCAACTATCAAAATAACTTAAAAATTGTTCCTCCTTACACTATGCTTTATTTTTAAAAGAATAAACATAGATCAACATAACTCCTATGGTTTCAGACTTATCAACACCCTGTACATTACATTTAATTATTATTTATTAAAATTATAAACAATATAGAAAACCAAGCAATTTTTTGATAGATATAAATCAAAGTAAGAGGTTTGTGTACTGAATATGTGTGTAAAATATTTGATCCTGTTCATATCATGTTTTGTATATTTAAAGTATTTGCATAAATGCGATAAATTGGCTTCAATACTCATGAAATCAAAGTATTTAATTAATAAATTCCTCGATTTGATTTCTAAGTTTCAATGCAAAAGCGTATACTTTTGATTACTTACGTTATTGTGTCTAATACTAAATGACTGAACAAAAAGTTTACTTGAGAGGAATAAACTTAGCAATGCAGTCAGCTTTCTACACTTACTGCTGCCTTGCTAAACATCATGAAAAACATGTAAACACTTATTTACTATTGACTTGAGGAGTAAAATTTCCAACTTTTTGCAGACATTGCCAAGTCTACTCCCAAATAAGCTTCTCATTTGATCACCCTGTAAGTTTCATATCAAAAACATACCAACAGCTTAACTGTTAAAATTCAATGAACTAAATAGAAATAAAAGCATTAATATTTTTATAAGTTTTCCAATAAACAAATTAAGTTCACAACTCCCAAAGTCATAGAAGCACTATCAAAAATTCTTCGCGCGAAATCTCTAACTGTATAAGCTGATTTAATGATAAAATATTTTAATATAAAATTTAGTAAATATTTTTCCAACCATTAATTGTGTATAGTCGATGACACAGAAAAGCATTTCGGTTATTAATAAATTTTAATTACTTAAAAGTAAAATATGTATTCAAGAAACCTGGACCGAACCCTTCTAAACTGGCAATTGAAATGAAAATCATGCATAACTTTCCATCAACATGTCACAAAAGTTAAAACACCAAACAAATTAATTCTTTCTGAAACAGTGGTCATGATATCAAATTCGTCTCTTCTTTCAGTAGAGATTTAATCAATCTTTAATTCTTCTCCTCCTTACAGTATTTACTCTAATGAATGAATGGAGTAGTATCGACCACTAAAAGCGCTAGGCAATTAACATGACCTCTACGAATCCATCCAATTAACTTTTTTCAAGAGGAAACTTCTATACAAAACATTAATGACGCTTGTCTAACAGTGGGGAAAAATCTTAAAAGAAAAAAGGGGGTGGAAGAGAAGAATTTACATTAAGGAAAAAAAATAATCTTTATATGAAATTATTATCGATTAAACAGAGAAGAGAGAAGTAAAAAAAAAAAATATATATATATATGACGAATATATCATTATTATTACATCTTTTTATGAGTTATAAATGAATTAAAAACAATAAAAACTGAAGCAATTTGTAGTTTTACACAATAGCGATAAAATTAACTTGTATATATATAAAAGAAAAAAAATTTACGCTGGAATATATAATAATTTACTTGGGAAAGTGGAGAAGAAACAGAATTTTATTAATTACGTGACAAAAGTAAGCAGATTTTGATAATTAGAAAAGCCTGTTAGGCAATTTGCAGATGGTCTGTTGAAGAAAAACTCCAGAGAACTAACGCTATTATATTGAAATATAGGGGGGTGAGAGATCGTTCGGCATACGTCAGTTTCTCATTTACGACCTTTCGCAGATTAAACTAATTAAGATTTTCTTATTAGAATAATAATTCTTTCGCTACGATTACTTAATAATTTTTCTTTCTTATCCAAACCCCGTTATTAAGAAAATTCCAAGAAAGAGCGCTAGGCAAACTATAGGATCCGGGTGAGTTATCTTCAGAATAAAAAATCATTGTTTCGACACTTGTTGAGCTCGTAAACAATTTTAAAATTAATATTTTAACCGTCAATTAAGAGTTTAACCAATTCTACAGGCTTTTAACTATATTAAACCATTGCAAGAATGGATCTCACGTCGCAATCTGTAGAAATTTTGGCATTTGTAATGAGGCATTACGGTAATGTCTTCGTTCACTTAGCAACAATATATTTTTAAAAGGTTTCAATGATTATTAAATTAACATCTATGTAATACAGACTTTAATCTTTCAATAAAATGTATTATGTTTTGATTTTATATATGTATATATATATAAATAGCAAATTTCAAGAGAACATTTTTTAAATTGAATTAAGTGATCCCTTGGGGCAAATTACGTAGCATATTCTAGACTAAAATCNTAAACAGAGAAGAGAGAAGTAAAAAAAAAAAATATATATATATATAATAAAATTTCTCATTATCGATAGAGTGCAATTTGATAAGGAAGTAGCCTTAACAGAAACAGGTTTCTATACCAGAACAGGAGGAGTTATGGACGAATGCAAACAATATATTAGTTAAATAGTAAACCGAATTCTATGCTTGAGAATGTTAGAAGTCATGCTGAGAGGTTACTAGCACGAGTAACGATGCGGAAGCTGTTAAAATTCTTTTTTTTATTATTTATTTATTTCTTTTCCTTTTAATTTTTTCCTTTTTTGTTCTCACCAAGCAACGTATCCTTCTTGAGTTGCAGGTTTTTGTTAACTCCTCTTCAAGATTATAAAAAAAAAAAAATAAACAGATATAAATCGCCTTTTTTCCGCATAAAGATGATACTCGATAGCTTATTAAAGCATTAAAGTGGGTTGAACGAAAATTTTCAGTTGCGTAAAAGCGTGCAGAATTTACATTCGAATTTCTTTGCATGGTTAATGGACTGCAGGAAAAAAAAAGAAAAAAGAAAAAGACTTTTTGTTTAGAGTTTCAGAAAATTAAACCTTGTAGTTGTGGTTACCTTGATAACTTCATTTCGAATAGGGATATTTCGTTAGGATTTAGGGAAAGTTAGGGGGCAAATTTATTTTGTATTGATGATTAAGCATCAGAGGAAAATATTCCTTCAAATTTTAATGGTATTTCTATGGTATAATCGGCCTTAATTTACACGCGAAACTTCGTTATCACGTCGCGCAACCCACGCGTAAATAAATTGCCATCTCACTTTATCCATAAAAAAAAAAATAAATAATAATAATAATAAAATATTCTAGAGTAATTTTTACGTCTAGAAAAATTCCGTTTCGGGTTCTAGTAACGATATATCAACTATAAAAATATTATTACTTCAGGCACGCAACATGGCATCCTATTGATAGGAGCTAGAGAACTGAATTTTCTAACTGGGTGGCCCCCGTTAGACAATTGTCAATAGGATCCCGAGTGACTAAAACAACACGGCTTAGTCATTATGCACGTTGTGTTTACATAATTTTCAACGCAACGCTGAATTCTTCGCTTTGCAAAGCCGTAAAAATCGGTAATAACGAACTAAACTCGCGTCAAAAAAGGAGGAGGAACCAGTTGCGATTTAAAACAAACGTTATTTCGGGGAAGATTACTAAAACAAAACAGTCCACTTACCCAATCCAACGTATAGATTAACACTGTTGGCCATGCTAATTCGCGATAACGACGTCAGAGCTCCATACTTGTGACGTACCCATCCTAATAATCTTCCAAGAGAAGGCGGGCGCTTTCTCTGTCGTGATAAACGTGACACAGCAGAAACTACCTGAGACTGGTTTGTTACCTGGAAGAAAAAAAAATTTTTTTCCCTATTTTTAGTATATTTACACAAATATAAACACGTCCGAATGTAGCAAAGAGGGGGGGGACGACATAGAGAATTTTTAAAAGGGGAGGAAAATATAATAATAAAAATAAAAGCACCACGCTTTTTAATGGCATAGTAAATTTCCGGTCAGCGAGATTGTCGTAAAAATCTAGCCCAAGGATGAAAATCGATAGATTTATGCTTTACTTCTTACACTTTTTTTCGTTCGTGATTCGACGAAGAATCACGAACAAAAGAGGATGTCCGGATAGCCAAATCGGTCATGCAACAGAAATGACCTTTAGCGTCGGGTCCTGGGGGTTACCTGCAAGAAAATTGTCACGATGCCAGTTTTTCTCCTCCCCTCGATTCCCGCAACGCATCCCCCTTTTTCTTATTTTACCTTTTTTTTTTTTTTTTTTTTTGTAGAAGTGTGAACACGTTTTTAACCCTCGATTTTCACAGAAACCGAGACGATTCTATCAATTGCACAATACGAACGGTGTCAATATAACGTACACGTGTTGTAAATTCTCTTAGAAGGGTCGTTTAAGTGTCACGTGTAAGGAATAATCCGCTGTTTTGTTTTATTTTCCAGGAGATTTTTAGGGCATTAAAAAATCTATATTTACTATTGCGTAAGATGCTCATTATTATGCGAAAAGATTAGGAAACGTCATGATGTCATCCACTATCCGGAGCCAGTAAAATTTCAAATCTTAAGATCCTGTAAGAGCGATAAGCGCTTTACAAGGTCAACTAGTAGTTTTTTTTTTTCCTCTATCTCTTCCCCCTTTTTTTTTATTCTTTAAAACTGCATTACACATTCCACGCATATCCAAGAATCACAGGTCAACGCCACACATATAGGAATGAATGGCTCAGCTGTTCAGAAACAGAAGGGAAAGCGCCCACATAACAAACATGGCGGGAAGTCACGTATAATTTAGCTTCTTAATTTAACCTCATAAAAAAAACTGTTTACGTTAAGAAACGACTTTCTAAATTTAGAAAAAATCATGTTTTCATCCGGGACCAAATTTATATATTTCTCTCTCTCTCCCTTTTTTTTCCCTCCATCTCTCGCAGTAGACTGAACACAATTGATTTAGTAGGGAAAAAATGGGGATAAGAGAAGACAGGACGGAGGAAAAAAAAATAAAAATAGAAAATCTGAATCGACTGGGGGAAACTCTCCAACTATTGCTTCTACTGTTAATAATATAGCAGCACTGGAGCGACTGAGCGATCAGAGGGAGAGAGAGAGAGCAGCAGGAGGAACCAGACCCTACAGTCTTGCGTTTGGGCCTTCTGCATCGATACAAATCGCAAATCATCGACATTGCCCCACTAACAACGAAATGGGGGAAGAGCAGATGGTGCTGACACGGTTTCCATGGTAACCTAACTGGTTGCCTCTTCTTAAGCATCGAAAAGTGATATAATACAACTGCCGTGTTTACTGGAATGAATGTAGGACTGAATTTTAGAATATTTTGTTTAATTTTCTCCCCCCTTCCTACGACCTTACAATAGACGAATTCGGCGAATACCCTAAGTTTAGAGGCATCCTGGGCACTTATCCTAGTTTCTGATTCCAAAAAAACGCACTAAAATTTAGCAGTGCAAAAGCTTCTGTCATTAAAAAGAGTGTAATTGGGACAGTCCCGTGTATATATGAACTATGTTAACCCATTTAAAAAGTCGATATTTACAGTTTGATTTAACCTCTTCCTATCAGAGAAGAATTCCCTTTCAGTTCGACAAACGCGGTGTTATGTTACAGGAAGATGAGGATAAAAAAAAAAAAGATAAAAACAAAACAAAACAGAGAGAGAATATTAACAACTTACCACGACGGCAATGCGGGAATTTTCAGATAAACGTTCCACTTCAAGCTGCCACATCACAGGAACAGTCGAATGCAGCACCAGAACTATTGGACCAGCGTGGGTGCTGTGTTGAATTTTTGGCATAACTTTCAATCCAACATTGGGTAAATAACCAGAAGGAGACGAAACATTAACCCCCGTATTCTCCAGACTCAAAACATGTACTTCCTGTAAATACACAAGCAAAAAAAAAAACACAGTTAAATGACAGCAACATACACAAACACTTCTTTGATGTGTAGTTAAAAGAAAAAAAATAAAAATTAGTTATTAACCTGAGATTTTGAAGTAATTTCTTTACTGGTACATCCACTCACCGATGATACATGTTCTAATAGTGGAGTCACGTAAGGAGAATGAAACCTTGATCTCACATGACAACCAGATGATCGACCTGAGAAATAAAACAGATTCAGTTCCATCTACAGATATTATTAAATGAAAATGGTATCAAATAAATAAAAAGAAAACAGCACAGAAAAAAAATATATATATATACAGGACTATTGGAAGTTATCCAGTTAGGTAGGTTATACACACACACATACAGTACCAGAAATGTAATAAGAAACAGCATTAATGGATTTCACAAATGGAATTGATAAGCTTGTTTCAGGAACTATTGAATCCCTTAAACTTTTATAACATATTGCCACACTTAATTGTCTATTGAGAACATTACCATGGCTTGTTATCTTTAAAAAATAACACTTGGCTTTGGAATAGCTCACATTTAAAATGTACTTAAGGTAATGCAGCGAAAGATAGCGACTGTTTTTTTTTTTTTTTTTAGAAAGATTGCACATAAACAATGGGAGACCGTTGGTTTTTTTTCGGAGGTCATACAGTTTAATTTTATTGTGCCGGAGCATAAGGTCAAATTTCAAATGTCTGACTTCCATGTGATGAAGATAATTATGCATAATGGCACTTTCCAATGGATGATGATTAGGGAATAGCTAGAGTTGATGCAATAAAAGAATAATGATGCTTTAAAAAGAATGTAAAGTCATTCAGAAGACACTTTTTAAGTGGCTAAAAGGATAATAATGATAGGTAAACCTATATTAATATAATTTCCCCTCATATACATAAGGGAAAAGCTTAAAAGATAATAAGGAAAGTAATCTAAAAAGGATGACAAATCATTCTGAATAAGAAGAATCAAGCAGCTGTAAAGTGGGAATTGATCATCTTACAAAGGCTTTTAACATAATTATCACTAAACAAATGCTTTTTTTTTTTTTTTTAAAAGGCATCAAGTTGTAAAATTTGGGAAAGTCACCTGTGACCTTTTAAAGTCTTTGTGACTGTAATATTAAAAGGTTATCATCTATAAAAATGTCCGAAAGAAATTCTCAGAAGACTTTTGAAAGAATTTATCCATAATTATGTAAAGAATTTAAGATGATTATCAATACAACTGTAACTAATTGAAGAATAAATCTGAAAATAATAACTTAAAAATATATATTTTAAGGTTATCAAAAGCTATAAAGATAAAGGGTAATCAATTATTAAAAGCTTTTAAAGTTTAAATAATAAAAAAATGGCCACCAGCAAGTTTAAATTATGAACAGATGTAAAGTTAAAGATCATTATTTACTAGTTTTTAAGAGTGATTAACTTAGTATTGGTCTTATAAAAAACATAATGTTATCATATGTTAGATGTTTTTAGGATATCAACCATTAATAAACAAAAAAATCACTTATAAATTCTTTTCTTAATACTCTGGCATTAAAACATTAAGACTTTAGTAAGATATATTCATCTCTTAACATTTATATCAAAGGATTTGGTTTAAAGAATGTTTAATTATTTGAAAAATTGCAATGTTTTCATTATAAAAGTGCTAATATTTTTAAAATATACTTCAGTTTGTACATTAATACTTTTAAAATTAAGAACTGTTGCAGAATTACTCTTAAGTTAATCAGTAGTGACTATTGATACCGATCATTACCTTAATTTTAATGAGTAAATATATATATAAAAACAACTTAATTATGCCATTTGTAAATTATATTTTAATGTAATAATCATATAAAATAACTTAACAGGTGTCTCATTCTTTATTAAAATCAATATATTTAGTTTAAAATTCAGTTAATATAAGGTAGATAACCTAAGGGATTTCATAATATTAACAACCACCCTTTTCTAACAGGATTTTTATTACAAATAAGGTTTATTTTACATAAAAATGTACCTACTCATCCTAATAACTATTATATTCGAAGCTGTAAGTGTTAAGAAAGCCATTCCAAGCAATTTAATGAATTTCACTGGCTTAAATTCATTTTGAGGAATAAATAACAGCAAAAATACCATAAGATAAACCATCTAAACACTTTTTTTCCACTTAAAAGTATAAACACTCATTATAAAGTAAGAAAATTAACTTAAAAACTTCCATTAATTGGAAAGAAAATGGTACTGCGCGGTTAATTAATCAATCATACCGCAATAACAAAACCCAAATGACATTTTAATCTATAACAGAATAATTCAAACAAGCGTAAACAATAGAAGTGTTTACTATAGTATTGTGTATTCAAAAAAAAGTGATACAATTGATAAACAATGTTAACATTTGTACAAGATATTATCTATTTCCACCTATCTAAAACGAGAGGCCATAGTCCACTTCTAAAAGATCTTGGACACGCTAACAAGCAATCAATACGTACACACACATGTATATATATATATACACACACACAGACACATACATACACACACACAGTATATACCAGAATTGGCACAGTGCCAATTTAATTACATATCTCTCCGGTAGGGGTGCTACTGTCTCTTGGCAGATACAGAACAAAAGATTTGTTTCTTTTTTACATTGTCAAAAGGAGGGAAAAAAATAACACAAAAAATATCATTTAATCCCTCTATTATGGCGCCAATTGTTAGCATCACAGTTATATAATTCTTCAAAACAGAAAGTAAACAACTATTGTTTTTTTTATTATTGTTTTAACTGGTGGAAACGTGTTTAAAACCAAACACTACTACACACAGTTTTCAGTTATTGAAGTATTGTTCGTATAATACATAAACTTGTGTGCTTATTGTATAGATACGTGTGTCTCTTTTCACGTATGTATGTAAAATATACGTATAACAATGGATCGTGTGTGTATAAAAAACACTAGAAAAAACAATTAAGATAACGTTTATAAGTTAAATATACGTAAAAAAACGTTGATAAGTTACTTTAATATACAAATTCGTAACAGTATTATAGAAAAAAACACGTTAAAATACAATACAAATACACGTTTCTCGTGTGTAAAGACAATACATTAACGTTTACAAACGTAAATGTAAAAAAAAAAAAATCACGTGGAACTGTCGTAAAAAACGTTGACAAATTTTTTGTAGTGACATCATCACGATGGAGTTTATGTATTTAAATACGTTTGATACATTTTTTTTTACTGGGGGAAAAAAGCGCAGTGTTTCGTTGTTGTTTTAAGGGGATTAAACGACGTTAACAATCCGTGTCGGCTTAATCGTTTTTTTATGGTTTTAAAACGTTTCTAATGTAATTTCTAAACGTTGTAAGCTGATAAAAATCGATATAAACTCGTTAAACCTCAGATTATCTCAATTATTAATAGTTAAGTTATTGAAGTAAAGATGTAAAACCAGGAGAGAGAAAAAAAAACAAGAGGGATGAAATAGTAAACTGCACTAGAACCTCCTATTGTTTTTCTTTTTTTTTTTTTAATTCTTCTTCTTCTGTTTTTAGTGTTAAACATCTAACACAAGGGATAATCAATTGGGATATTCAAAAATGGAAGAGAAGTTGGCTAGAAATTTCTTAACAGAATTGTAATCTTGTAGAAAGAAACAACAAACTATAGTATTTCTATCGATTTTGCTTTTCCCCTGCTGAAGCAAGGAGAGTGGTGGTGGTAACCATACCGAGCACTTGTATCTTTTGTGTATCAATAATTACAGATACACAGTAAATGTAATCTATTTAAACTGCATTGTATCGCTAAAAGGAATTAATATAACGTTATAAAAATATAATTTAGCAACGTAAAAGGCGAAGGGCGTTCCTATTGTCATTACGAGGAGAAGGGGGTAGTCGTTGAGTATTGATTCGTTCTCTAGCGAACATTCGTTCATATTAGCCCATTTCCAACTTTGGCATTTTGCCTCCAATGCAGTTTGATATAGTTTTTTTCCCCCTTACGTTACCCCTCGAAATACCCCGAACGTTGGAAGAAAAAAAAAATTTATTTCTTCTTCCAACCAACAGCAGTTGGGTGTGGGGATATATTTTTTATATTTTTTTTGGTTGTATGAAAAGAAACACACTACTATCAAAAAGAAGCTGAGCGTGAGAAAGGGTTACATACAGGCACACACGTTCACCCCTGTTACCATAGTGATGAGGTGGGGTAGAGGGAAAATTCGCATGTTTTTTTGATACGAAACGGGAGAGGGATGGAGGCCAAATTTGGGTAGGGTCGGGGAGAGGAGGGTTCTCCCCATATTCTAATTTCCCAGTGGGAAGATTGGACAGGGGGATTTTTTTTCGATCTGCCTTTCTTTTCTCATGATTGTGACTAAGCCCATCTGCGTCTGGGGTAGGAGAGGGTCGTTTATCAGTGGGTGATGTCATCCCCGATGCCTGACTCACCCCTTTTTTCCGGTGAGGGGAGACTGAAGGATTAACGTCCCGATATTTTTTTAATACTTTTTTTTTGTGGCTATCCCCTGTGCCAACTCTTTTATTCCCAGCTGCAGCAGTAGCAGACAAAGAGAAAGGGAAAGGGTTGGGGGGTTTTTTGTGTGAATGCACGAAAGGGGTTACGCTCAGTACAACCTGAGGCCATGAATGATGACAAAGAGAAAGTGGAGAGTTGCTAAGTTAAGTTTTACAGCATTTTAGAATGGCGAAGTTTACTAGGTGCAATGTATAACAATGCATTAAGACTAGGTTTATCTTACAGCACTAGAATTCAACTTACACAACTCGATTTTAAAATGTACTGTTTACTACGTTTTCTGTCTAAATATGTATTTCTTATAACTTAATATATTTTAATTAGTTTTAAATATATTAAATTTTCGCTTACTTTAAACAGAAAACTAATTACATTAAATCTATATAAGCGATTTTATCAGTTCTTAACTAGAATTTTCAGCGTAACAAGATTAAATGCGTACCAAGTAACTCATTAGTCAAGTCATTATCTAAAAAATATAACATTTTAAAGCTTAGTATAATCATTAAATTATAAAAATTCATATTTTACCACGTAGAAAGTTTAAAAATACACTAAAAATCGATAGAACAGCTATGTATATATATATATAACTTTCCACTCTAGTATTTATCATATTAAAATCGTACGGATTAACTTAGATTTTGCCAAATAAAACACATCAAATTCTAACGAAATTCGAGAAGTAAGGCATGTAAACAATTATAAATTGTAAGAATAACTAAAGACACGTGTAGTTATTCTAGTAAAAACAAATGACAAATGTAGATACTAAGATTGATGAAGTAGAATAACAACTGATACTTCAATACAAAGTACAACTGCAACTAGAGGAAGATCCTCTAGTTGCAGTTATACAGTACTTTGAACACCTGCTGAACTGAACAAACCTACAGAATAAAAACTTATTAGCTGTAGAAAGTCTACTGATAAATTTTGACAAGTCTACTAAATTCATAAATCAAATGTTAAATGAATGAGTGTGTGTGTGTGTGTGTGTGTGTAAGTTGGCACACCTACATATTATATAGAGTTCAAGTGAGAAAAATAAAATTATGGATAATACAAACATATCCAGCACAAACCAGTTAACCACAAGAAGAAGAAGAAGAAGAAGAAAACAAAATTACTGAAGTATACCAGAATGAATCTACTAACACACAAAGACCAAAGTTTAATGTTTTTTCCCCAATTCTCCCCCACGCAAATTCAATGAGCGGCGAACTTTTTTCCCTCTCTAATTTAATTTTTTTTTTTTAATTCCCATCTGCACCAGGTGTGGAAAGCCATTCGACTTTAACTCTTTATTCACGAAAAACTTTCCCAGCGGGCCAGAAGGGGAAAGTGTCCACAAAAAAAAACAGTACTGGTTATTTTTTTTCAAGCCAGACAAAGGGTTAAAATCCACCCAAAAAAAAAAACACAATTTACTGCAGGATGTACTGTACAGTAGTACAGAAGAAGAAGAAAAAAAAATACCCATTGGGGTCTAACCCTATGATCACATCTGTCTGGAAGTAGCAGACTGTCGAAAAAAAGGGGGATGATACACAAAGCCCTCGTATTTTTTAAACCTTTCCCCTTTCCCGAGTTCCGTTCCCAGCCCTTTAAGGCCATCTGTCACAAAAGGGGTTCCAAGCCAGTTTTTTAATCCCCCGACGTTTTTGAGGGAGCACAAAAAGCTCTCCCTGAAAGGCCTCTCGCCAATGAGGGACCAGGCAAACTGTCTGTCTCAGACATCCAGGGGGAGAAAAAGCAGACAGAATGTTAAATCGGGAGGAAAAAAAATATATATTACACACACACATATATATAAAAATTTATATAATAAACTTATTAAAATTAACAAACAGCTGTTAATCAGATCTTCCTACACCCAACGCCTTCTTCAGTTTCCTGTCGTCTCTCTCACTATAAATACACGTCTTAGTGAATTTTTATGTGTAAGTGAGTCAGAGAAGATAAATCCGAGTAAAATACACGTAAAATTCTGACGTAAAACATAAAAAAAAAAAAAAAAATATGGTACGAAAGATTTCATTTCGGGGGGAGGGAGGGGTTTTTGTTCAATGGGCAAAAACTGCTTTAAAAAATTATTTTTTCTCGCTAACTTTGATGTGGAATCGTGTATATAAACAACAAATAACGTACCCGGTCACCTCTCTTTTATATATTAACGATGAAAAACACCGCGATCATGATTCTGTCACGCGAATCGAATACCAAGACCGGAAGTTGTGTTCGTGAGCGGTCACGCACCGCTCACGACTGATTGTCGAGAGGATAAAAACTCACCAAAACTACTATACAATTCTCTCTCTCTCTCTATTTTTTTTTCTATATTTTAATCTCGATTTTTATTCGTACGGTCGAAAATTCGATATTTTATTTCCCCCCAAAGTACAGAAAAAAAAATCAATAAACGACACGAAAACTAAACACGAAAAAAAAAGGAAGAGAGAGAGAGGAGGGATTCTGAGTTAGTAAAATGGAGAAAATTTTATATTAAAATTTTAGTACCGTTAGAAAGGAAGAGGATTACTGGCACACACACAAAAAAGACCTAGCCTTGGGGGTTTTTAGTGGGTGACGCCGTTATACCCCTTCCTGGCCCCAACGCCTAAAAGGGTGTATGTGCACCCTTCAAAGCAAGCCAGATGTTTAACTCTGGGATAGTTCGACTGGGGTTTTTTTTGTATGTGTGTGTGTGTGTATAAAGAATAAATCAATCTCTACCAAAAACTGCAATATATTTATATTAAAAAAATAATAATAAAATGGCATATAAATTCGTATAAAATGTAGAATAGAATATTAATAATATACATACCTTCAACATAAACCATTCTAGATGCCAGGTGACTTAACTGTACTAAAAAGTACAGAGTCAGGCATCTTTCCATATTTGTCCCCATGGTTATTTCTTTTTATGGAGGTTTTCCCCCAGATTTGGAGGTAAAGGTCACACTAGACCCCAGTGTTACTCCTTAAGTCTAGCAGGGATTAAAGAATCAGCTGAAGAAATGTTATCTGATGTAAGATAACCTGTAAAAAAAAAGGGGGAACAATTAAAAAAAATAGGATTTACACATTTTAAATTATAAAAGAATATGTATCTGTTCGGTGTTAATGGTACATCATATATAAAAATTATATTTAAAGGTCAAATGGAAGCTGCGATGAAAGATCAAACGCTATCCACAGCAGTTGTATGTGCATTTGCCAAGTGTTAACCTAATTAATTATCAGCTGTTACTAGCTAATGATTTATTATGTGATAGAAAAAAAAATAATAATTTATCACTGTTTTCAATTCCAACCAGGCAGATAAAGAAAGAAGAAGAAGAAGGGAAAAAAAACAATAATCCTCAGAGAACATTGCTAAAGACATTCAAGCTAAAGTATGTATAAAAATACTACTCAAGTTACTGCCACTCTCTCAATCTTTCTCAGTAAAAATAATTGCCACTGAAGAACAATTGTAAATCAAAACCTTTCTCAGAGTATCATAAAACAGTTTCCAGTTAAACATAAAATATATAGATATATTACACAAGCTGGTAGAGAATATGTTTTTCTTTTTCCCTTCTTTCTTTTCTTGTGGAGGAGATAAATGTGAGTGTGACTATAGGAGCAATCAGAGTTCACATTAAAAAAAAAAACCCCTCTATGAAAAGTACAGAGAAAAATTATAAACACTATTTTTGTTTTGTTTCTGTTCTTCATTTAGCCTCCAATCTATTGCTTTCTATAATGGTTACTATTTATAAAGATACTTCAAATGTGTGCTAGTAAAATGGAAATAAAACAGCTCGGGTCAAAGGCATTTAATTAATAAAAGCGGGATTATGAATTTAATCGAATTCTTCCCGCAAAATTCCCATCCTTCGATTAAATCGCCGCCGGAGTATTGGTCGAACAATTAGCAATTGTCATTTTAAGCAGCCAGGAAAGAGTCGAGTTCCTATTTATTGTTTTTCTAAAGGAGAAGAATGATATCCTTTAGTTGGCATTATGATATTCTCACATGGAAGAAGTGTATAATCTTTCTACAAAATTCCTAGAAGACATTGAAGGTATCTATGAAGAAAAATCATCTCAATTACAATCCCATCTGAAAACACAATGAGCTAGTGTTTTATTTATGTATCCCTTGTAGTAAATTTTTGTTATAGGTAATGTAATGTCATACTAATAAGTGGATAAAAGGTACTGCCATTAAAGTTTAATAAATCAAAAAGGAGAAGGGACATTAAAATAAGAAACCGAACGGAGGAGAGCATCCACTTAATAGTTTTTTTTTTAATGCTGCGGCCGAAAGGAGTGCTAAAATTTTAAGTAACGCAACACTGCGCGTAGCGGGCGACCCTAATTACTATTAAAAATAGGTTAATGAACAGTAACTATACGCTGCCCATCTGACATTACCATAAAACATAAGAGCATGTAATTGAATTCTTTTTATGTGAAATCTACCCACAATGGATTGTAAAGTACTCAAAATAATTCATTCTTTAGATAAAGGGTTAAAGACATCCCTTTCATGACTAGATTTTTATGATAAACAAGTTATTTTTGAATGTAATATGTACATACATGTCTCACAGCCAACTTTATATTGTCTGAAAGATAGAAATCTGGCAGAAAAACACATGCAACACACAATAACACATGACATACTCCATGTGTGATCAATGGAACCAAAGGGTTCCATTGATCACACATGGCTTTGGTTCCATGGATCACACATTAAAATTAGCTTATTTAATGTAGAAATTCCTGTAATTCAATTGAAAAGTTGAAATATTCATTAATGGAATGTATATTTATATATAAATATATAATTTTTACAGTAAAAAACATTATAAACAATGTATACAAAGTCAACCATGTATAAAGGAGTATTGGAAACATGACTCACCTCAGTTATCTTGACACCCGATAACACAACCCAAACAGATTCACTTCAGTGACGTTAAGCAAAAGCACAAGATTCACAAAACCAATACTGTTATTACTTTATATTGATGCATTATTCCATATTTATCGGACAACTCCGTTGCACGTCCTTCCTTCACCGACTCCAAACGTCAACTGATTGACGTCGGTGCAGGCACGATGTCAGAGGAGACGTCACACAAGAATTCCTGCTTAGCGCCATCTGGTGGACGTTAAATATTTCGGGAAATCGAATGCGGTAGGTCGATGTTATAAGGAAGTAATAAATATTATTTTTAATGTAAACAGAAATAACTTATTATTATTATTATTATTATTATTATTTCTTTTTTTATGTTTTTATAACCTTTAAGGTTAGGCGTTGATAATAAAAATTATTACGAAATTTGAAAATTTAAATTCGAACAAATAAATTTGATTAATTGGTCGATTAGTGGCGTCACGTGATACCGGCGTTTTGAAATATTAATTCAAAACGTTAAGTTTAAAATTGAAACAGGAAAAATTTATATATATATATATATATATATCGTTAATTATATCATTTTTATAAAATTATTCGTTAATAAACGGAAATAATTAGTGGCGAATTATAAATATCGAATTAAAACTGGATTTTAATTAGGTTTTTAATCATCCAATTAATTAGTTCAGCAACTACACGCTAATAAAAGAAAAATATTTCATAACAAAATTGTTACTGAAATAAAACTTTTACGTATAATTTATTTCTAGATCTAAAAAGAAAAAAAAAGGAGAAGAAGAAGAAGAAGGAAAAAACAAAAAATACGTAAATAAATTTAAAAACTTTTACGTAATCGGTTGCGTGACGGAACATTTTAACTTTATTGGCTGATTTAAAATTTAAATTTTTAAACAATTTAAATTGACCAATTACATCAATTAACCAATTATATCGATTACTACAACTCACGTGATCGATTTCGTAGAGTAACTCGCGTTATTTTTTTTTTTTTCCTGTTGTATCAGCGTTACATCGATTTTAGTAAAGTGAAATAAACTCGGAATTCATTTTATTTATAAAAGTTTTATAAACAAGAATGGCAAGAGTATTTTATATACGTCTTGCTAGGCAACCCGTTCTGGAGTTTTCCTGTTAATTCTTATTGGAGAAAGGATAGCTCGTTTCCATGTAGGGGAACCATTCTTTTGTGTTAGAGGCCTTGCACGGGAGGTGAATGGAAGGTACCGGTAAATAGACAGTGCAGGTGTGAGAGGTTATGCTGTTACGGTCATTTTTTTGTACAACATATACTTGGATCCCTATGGATTGCTAAGGATAAAAAGAAGTGAAGTCTTGTGTTAGAAGTGTTGAAACTCTTTCATACCTTTATTTTTTTAAAAAAAAAGGTATATATTCGCTTTAAAATAATAATATTCAAGAATAAAAATGATCTTATGTATTCATTTTTTATACTAATTTTTAAGTAATTATTTATATATATTTTTTGCAGAGTATTGTGTAAAAATGTATACAAATACTGTATTGTTTTTTTTTTACATTTTAAATAAATTTAACATAGAAAAAATGCTTTTCGTATGATGAAGTTTGTATACGTGAGAGTACGTAAACTTCTGTATATGCTGTTATGCATAAATATGTATGGAACCTCTTTAAAATACTATTAAACTTATTTATTTATAAATACACCCAATAAAATTAAATTTATGTGCGGTCATATGCACAGCAGCACATAAACTTATAAATACAGTATATGTCGTTATGCATATAAAGCATAACAGCACGTGTACACCTTATAAGTTACTTTACGTGTTTATAAGAATACAGTACTCAACCTTTTCAAAGTAATTATCTCTGTTATTTTTTTTATAAAAAAAAGGAACGTTTTTTTTCAATGAGAAAACAGAGAAGTGTTTAACCTGTCATTTAATCTTCTGGTTAACCAATTTTTCTTTAATTGGCTAATTAAAATTTAAATTAACCAATAAAGCTATTAATACAAATCATGTGATTGAAACATTTTAACTTAATTGTTAATTTAAATTTCAAATTGACTAATAAAGCTATTGATACGAATCACATGATTGAATCGTTTTAAAGTAATTGGATAATTTTAAAAGTTTAAATTGAATAATATATTGATTAGCATGATCGGATATATTTTTATGTAGGGTGGTGATGTTTGCATCAGGTGTGTTCTTCGATCTTTTATTTTTTATTTTTTGTTAAGAAAAAGCAATAAAAGTGTTGAAGTCAAAGATACACAAAATTTGCTCTAGGAAACGTGCTAAGTCCTCGCTAACAATTCGAGAATTTTCAACAGCGATCGATACAAATGCAATCTACTAGATTTGGTTTCTTAACGAGAACGATTAAAGCCCCGTCTAAAGCATTGTTTAGTTTTATTGAAGGAACCGGAGATCATAACTTTCTTTCCAAAAATTAAAATTATGACTAGTGACTCGGGGGGAGGGGTTCGATTATTCATCGAACTTAAGGGCGATATTTCCATTTCTAACATCATTTAAGGATTGCCAGAGGTGAAATATTTCCCACTAAATCTTCAAACGTCTAGATTTACCGACATTAAAAGCAATCGGAATTAATTTAAATACCAGATAGGAATATGTGGAATTTAAATTAAAAGTAATTTTCTTGATAAAGCAAAAGAGAACCTTTGACTTTATGTCGAAAGATACAAAGTTACTTCGATACTTTTAAAATTAAATAGTTTATGCGAAAATTATCGATAGGACCATCAAGCGTATCGCTCTGCATCCAACTTACAATCGTCAATGCTGTGCATCGCTAGCAAAAATACGCATCGGTACCTTTGATGACATCCTGTTTAAACTTTTTATATACATATTTAGAGATGAATTAGTTTGATATAAACTATAAACAGATATATTCTTGAAGACAGGTGGGAAAATTACTTTATGCATGGCTAGTTGAGTCATATTCGGCTACCGTTCTTTAATGGCTCGGCATTTTTTTTATTTGTATTGTGCATAAAGACATATTATACGAGTTTATGAATGAATTAACTCCTATACGATCTGTGAAATACTTAGAAACGAAGCTGTAAGTGGTATCTAATTTATTCTTCTCCTTTATGAATGCATCTGAAATTTGCTTTGGCTCTCGGCATTTATGAATAAAAGTGATTTACAGTGTTAAAAATGACTCCAAATGGCACAGTTTCGATTGTTCTAGGAGCCGGAATTGCTTTATAAATCTGGTAAACTATCAGCATACTCGGTTGCAAAAAAAAAAAAAACGTTTAATTTTATCCAATGTAGAAAATAAAGTTTTTCTTTACAAATTAATTTGGCGTTATTTGAATTATTTTCTAAATTTCTAAAAGAAAAAAATAACAACTGACACCAGAAAACACATAAGTTAAAATAAAGATACGAAATTAACCAATAAAAGTAGTAACACGAATCGTACGATCGGAAGATTTTTTTTTCTTCTACGTAATTGGATAATTTAAATTTTAAATAGGCCAATTAAAGCCATAAATTCGAATCATGTGATTGTCGATTTTTAAATTAATTGGCCAATTTAAATTTACACGTTAAAAAAGAAAGGATATTTGAGAAAAGAAAGAGGAAAGATGTCAAAAATAAGAAGTAATAATATTAAAATGTTTTATTTAATTCTACAAATACTTTTATCGTAATTCACGAAGAAAAAAAAACAATATTTGCACGTTTGCACCTATGCAAAATTATCATTATAAAACTATTAAAAAAAAGAAATGACGTATTACCAATTTAAATATTCGCCATCTTGGGTAATATCGTTCTTGTATTTGTAACAATTTTTCTATAATTATCAAATTAATTTAAAACGATGCAGAGGCCTTGAAATGGGTTGTTATAATTCAGCATGAAGAACAGAAAACTCGCTCACTCAGAACATTTTAAAATAGCACCTCTCTAGTGTAATCTTACCTAACATATATTAGAATTCGAGACAAGAAAGATCTGTTATGTTAGTTTTCCTAAATTAGGCAAGGATTTCTATTTTTATCCTTTTACATCCCGGAATTTGCCGGTGAAGCATAAGCGAACAGAAGAAGAAGAAGAAGAAAAAAAAAAAAAATAAAGAAAAAGAAAATACCCTGTGTTCTGCAAAGACAGAAACTCAATATTTGAAGGCTGGTTAGTGTCACGTATTGAAAGCTACACATATATTTCCTCTTTCAATCTATGCATGCACAATTTCGATAGGGTATACCTTTTGATTTGTAATGCAGGAGGTCTCGACATGATATATTTGATTGTCTTTTTTTTTTTCTGTGCTTATTGATTTATTTCGAATTGCTTAATCCTTAAATTGTAGAGGAAGCAATTTAATCCAGAAAGTACTGCCAAAAACAGTTCCAGTGAATAATCAAAGAACAGAAAATATCCAATTCGTGCTGCAATCGTTCACGCGTATTATACTTATAGCGTAGGAACCGTATCGTGATATTTGATTGTTTTCGTGACTGATAAAATACGTGACGTCCATATTAAACCGAATTCTTCTATTCTCTCTTTTTTTTTCTTCCCCCCTTCTTCTGCTTTGGTATAGGATCTGTGGAATTTTTCTAATTTTAGCGCATATCCATTTATGTTTAATATTATTAATTAATATTTAATTTAATCACGTGATTAACTTGTATAAATAGAGCTACGTAGCTACCTTCTTTACATGAGAAATTAATCAAAATTCTCTTATAAAACATGCAATATATGCCCTTTAATACATCATAAACTGTTAAAAAGAATTAGGTATTGCATTAGATTTCAGTAAGCTTTCAGTATCGTGTTTACACGTAAGCTAAACAATTTGCACAGCGTAGGGCCTCACTCATGAGGCCTCACATTTTTAGATGCATTATGGTGAAGGGAAGAGCATGTTATATGTTATAGCTTAGGGCCACAAATTTAGCCCCGGGATTAGTAAAGTACAGGGTATACACTAGTTTAGAACACTACATGCAGTATAGTTTAGTACACTGTGAAAGTATTTCTCGCTTTCTTTAATGATACATAAACAAAATACTATAAGGTTTCCTTTTTATTTTATGCATTTCTAACTTAAATTTATATTTTCAATGGTCCTACTCTACTGTTCTGCTAAGTGTAGCATATCTTTCTAACAGTAAATA